GGAGAGAGGACCTAGTAGCGGTCGGTGAAGAGGCGGGGCCAGGAGCTGAGTCTCGACCCCTGCAACCACAATCAGGCGAGTACACACAGTAAATTATGGAAGTGGTATGGTTGTGGGTGCTGGTAGTGGGGGTTGGCTGGTGTGGGGTCATAATTTGTGGGTAGTCGTTGCAGGTGATGTGTTTGTAGAACTGGTTAGATAAGTACACTTTCCTGCACGTAACTAACATACAGCAATTGGTACTTATCTGTTAACAGCACGATGTCCAGCAGCCTCTCCCAGGACATTAGTTCGGGGTGCCGTTCCACTTTTCACTGTGGCTGTGGATTAACAAGTTGTTATATAATTTGCCCCCAAGGAGCGTATATCTCGGCATTTCATTATTTGAAATACGTAGTGGTACTCGTGTAACGTGAGCTTATGGCGTTGACAGCGCCATTAAGGCCGATATCAGTGACTTGACTGAAGGCTTGAGTGTCTTGGTGAATGTTGCACTAATGTTCGCCACTACTTCGGGAATGTTCTTTGCAATCACTCGTAATACCGGTTGCACTTCATCATTCAGTACCATTTGTTCATAGTTTCATGGTGTTATCCACAGCAGGGAGAACACGGAGACGCAATAAACACTACGTAATTAGTTCTACCACGAATTTCCTGACTCGTATAAGGGAACTAGTCTAACTTTCCTAGTTTCCTGAGATTGTCAGAATGAACAAGTCAAGATCGCACTGGTCACTACTGTCCCTTTGTCTTTTAACGATAAGGAGGCAACGCCCTCGTGACACGTTCCGTCCTTTCCTTGAAGCAATCTGAGACCCGCCGCCCTCGTTGCCTTCCAGCTCATCGTCCCCGCAAAGGATATGCTGAACTCATCTTTATCTCTTCCTTGCTACACATTGCAACAGTATTCAATACAAGAGGGTAGGTTTCTTGTTATATAGCTATAGACTAGAATTCCTAATAATCCCAACTTGTAGATAAAGTGGGGCGCAGGTTTCTTCTTAATTTTTCTGTTATGGAGAAGAGTAATTACTCTCGTTTAGCCCTCACTGTATAGTTGATCAAGAACTCTAGCAAGGAGAGGAAAACGTGCATCGTGATGCTATGGTACATACATATGTTCCTCATAAAACTGTTTGAGGAAGAGAGTCCACTAGCCCCTTTCGGGAGGGCTAAGTCCCTCAGAGGGCTGAGGGGGCTGGAGCAGGGAGAGAGGACCTAATAGCAGTCAGTGAAGAGCCGGGGCCAGGAGCTGAGTCTCTACCCCTGCAACCACAATTAGATGAGCACAATTAGGTGAGTACACACCTAATTGTGCTGGAGAATTTTCTCCACTGTGTGGGTGTGTGTGCGTAACAGTAGTGACCTGTATTTACACTGGTGGGATGATAATTTGAATTTTGTTGAGGCGCTGACCGCGAAGATAACGGATTATTATTATTTATTCGTGGGAAGCGCTAAACCACCTGTAGGGTAATAATGCACCTACTTGATGGGAGGTAATCAGGTTTGATGGAAAAATGTGAAAGTAGCACTATTTCCTTAGATCAAGGGCATCAGCGAGAGTGAGTGGTGGGTATAGCTGGTGCTTTCTTCTGGGTGGGTTCTTAATAGTTTTGTTGATCTCACCCGCAGGTTAATGCCTGCTGATTCACTTTTGTATTATTTCACACACACACACACACACACACACACACACACACACACACACACACACACACACACTTCATCCGCGACATTTTAAACTCCGAAGCTTATATGATGGAGCACACACCATACACAGCCTTAAGGAAAGGCACGCCAGGATCCACGAGGCGGGAAACTAGTGAAACTGGTCGTACGTTGCTGACAAGGGACTTCCTGCAATCACAACTAGGTACTTTGTTCACCTATTTGTGGTTGCAAGGGTCGAGTCCCAGCTCCGACTCTTCGCTAGTCGCTACTAGGTCACTCTCTCCCTGCTCCATAAACTTCATCGTACCTCTTCTTAAAGCTGTGTATGGATCCTGCCTCCACTACATCACTCTCCAGATTGTTCAACTTCCTGACAACTCTGACTGAAGAAGTGCTTCCTAATATCCCTGTGACTCGTCTGAGTTTTCAGCTTCCAGCTGTGACCCCCTTGTTGCTGTGTCCTATCCCTGAAACATCCTGTCCCTTGTCCCACCTTGACATTTCCTCTCGGTATTTTTTTTGTGTGCGTGCGTTCGTGTGTGCTTGCGTGCGTGTGCGCGCTTTATTTTATAAGACGACAATCTTCTGGCACCTGTTGCAGCCCCTCAGTACAGTTAAGATACCTTGGCTTTACTCATCATGGTGACTAGCCTCCTACCATGACACTCACTACCTCGCATCTCGCCCTCCTAGCATCTCGCCCTCCTCGCGTCTCCCCCATTTACCTTCCGAAAATGTGGACATTGGTTGATTGCTATATTATGCTGAGTCTAGTGGACCGTTTATTATAAAAAAAAATCCTTTTAAAATGTGCTAAATGATGAGTGGAACGCTGCGAAGGAGCGGGTTGAAAGATGCATTTCCACATGAATGCTTCTTTTTAAACTCGATGCTGTCTTGTTTGTCGGTAGCACTACTGTTTTAATTGTTGTGTTGGTGTGATGGAACACGGGTTCACCGTGTTGAAGTGTTGGAGAAGACCTGCACTGGAGTTTGTCCAACAAACACGGGCTCATCGTGTCCAGTCAACAGGTGTTTCTGTTGTGCGGTTTAATTTTGTGGATTTAAACTTGCTGCCGTGTTGACTGTATGTCCACGTGTTTTCGTTCTGGATGGTTTATTAATCACCACCTGAAAGGGGGGAGGGGTTCTATAGTGGTTGTAGGATTTTTTCTTGGGTTTTCTTTCATATTTTGAGACCGACTCGTGTAATCAGCTCCAATTTTTCACTGCCAGTGTCCAGTAACTAAATAAAGGTTAAGATTGTTACATGGATGTGCAGGCGCTCTTACAACAATTTTATAACTGAATTTCTGTTTTTTTTTTCAATAACCTGGAAATGCCTCTTGTGTTCGGCTTGACACTTTATGCACGACGATACAGAATTACGTATCGAAAAAAAATCATGTTTTTTTTTATAAAGATATATGATGTAAAGGAAGAAAATTGGACAAGCAGTGAAAGGCACCAGGAGAGTACAGAAGGACCTGCCTAGTATGGACCAACAGGCCTGCTGCAGTGTTCCTTCCTCCTGTGTTCTTATGTATATGACGGTGGAACACAGTGCTCGCTGTGCTCGCCACACTTCTGTGTTTCCCATTCTTATATCTGACATTGATAAGGACATAAATCATAGTACCATAACATCTGATGACACCAAAATATCTGGGAGTGGCATCCGTCGAAGACAGCGAATCTTCAAGCGGATTTAAAATGAGCCGAGGTAGGATAACAGCTCTTAGCCTGTAAAATTCATTTTTGTAAAAGAAAATATTACGTGTTCCAGTGGGCTTCAGACAATACAATACTCGGTGAGGACAAGTTTCAGTTGCCCCGTTCTGGAAGAATGGAGGAAATACGTTGTAACGGTAGGTAAGGTTCGTCAGCAAACAGGACAAGTGTTTCCTGACGCTGGTCTTTGTCCTATGATGACCCGCCACTGGAGCTTTTGGTCGTCTGACCGAGGCTTTCAGCTGGCTTACCGGCCCACCCCATCAAAAATTATGGTTATTATTATTATAACCATTTTTTTTTCTGTGACGGAGTAAAACTAAAATAATTCAAAAGAGCGAGTCCCATGTGTGAGACTTAGGAGTAATGATGTCGGAAGATCTCACATTAAGGATCACAAGACTGATGCCATTGCTACGGCAAGGAAAATGATTGGCTGGATAACTAAACTTTCAAGACAAGAAATCATGAGCTAGTAATGATTCCCTAAGTCACTAGTTATCTCCAGCCTGGAATGCTGTTGTATGCTTACTGCCTCCTTAATTAGTGGCTGACTATTATTTTACGCTTTAATTGATCATTCGTGGTTAACACTCAGCTCTGTTTCATTCCGTTTTATTTACGCCTGACTAAAATTGGCGCGACCTTGAGATTTACTTCGCTGTTGGGTGTCAGTGGTGGTGGTGTGTGTGGTGTCAGGTGGCAGTGGTGGTGTGTCGGGTGCCAGTGGTGGTTTTGTGTGTGTGATGCATGTCGGGTGTCAGTGGTGGTGTAAGTTTAGTCAGGTATAGCTACATATAAATACAGTTACATATTATCATACATACCTGCATGTGTGTACATTATCCAGGATAACCCAAAAAAATCAGTAACTTATTTCCATTGGGGTGTGTGGTGGTGGTGTCGGGTGGCAGTAATGAGAAGTGGAAACTAGGTCACACTCACTTGTGTCAACAGTACTGAGGCAGATGATAGCGATCAGTGTGTGTTGGCACAAGTTTACCTGTATATACCTATTTGTGGTTTCCGGTCGAGTCTCGGCTCGGTACCCATTTTTGGTCGGATCGGTTTCCGGGGGGGGCCCCTTTG